TTCGTCATAACACAAAATTTTACAATTTTTTCATGACGAATATATTCGTCATAACACAAAATTTTACAATTTTTTCATGACGAATATATTCGTCATAACACAAAATTTTACAATTTTTTCATGACGAATATATTCGTCATAACACAAAATTTTACAATTTTTTCATGACGAATATATTCGTCATAACACAAAATTTTACAATTTTTTCATGACGAATATATTCGTCATAACACAAAATTTTACAATTTTTTCATGACGAATATATTCGTCATAACACAAAATTTTACAATTTTTTCATGACGAATATATTCGTCATAACACAAAATTTTACAATTTTTTCATGACGAATATATTCGTCATAACACAAAATTTTACAATTTTTTCATGACGAATATATTCGTCATAACACAAAATTTTACAATTTTTTCATGACGAATATATTCGTCATAACACAAAATTTTACAATTTTTTCATGACGAATATATTCGTCATAACACAAAATTTTACAATTTTTTCACGACGAATATCTTCGTCATAAACAGTTAACTGGTTAAAAAAGAAGAAAATATTTTCAGTATAACATTTTTGCATCCGAGGTTCCATTTTCTTGAAAATTGACTTCAAAGTTTGTTCTACGTATTTTCCCACCCTGTATAATTAAATAATTGATTAAATAATAATAATTTTAGAGTGAAATTATTAAGTCTGTTGGACAACGACTCACCGGTTATTCGATTAAGGGTGCCGTTGAGGAATCTTCCTATGTGACCAGCCACGTGGGCGCCGAGCGAGTGTCCGATCACGTGGAACGTGTTCAAATCGATAGCGTCGAAAGTGAAGAGCTTCTCGAGGAATTCAGCGACCGCTTTGCCGATCGCCGGCACCTGGCTGGCCACGTAGACGTAGTTAATGTCGATTGTTACGTCCCCCCAATCGAGCAGGATAACGTTCACGTCCCCCCTGTCCAGATAGGCTGCGAACACGTAACCGTAAAATCAATCCCCCTCTCGTTTTATACCTTTTTAACATCGCGTGATACCGATACCTCTAATTATTATCTGAACGTTGTCCGCTTCCGTGTTCTCCATGTAACCGTGCACGTAGAGGATGCTGTCTCGGTTCGCCAGTATGGCGCTCGCTACACTTCCTGGATTCGCCAGCGTCCCGTCCATCGACGTAAACGAAGAACCGTTTCTACAATTAATATATTAAATAGCAGCAGATCTTTTTAAATATCATAAGATAGAAATTATTAT